TTTTTTTTCCTCATTTTAACACAAAATATCATTCTCGTCTTCGTTCGTATCATTCTGTGATCAATTTCGTTTGCAATTCTCTTCTTTTCCTTTATTGTCCTTCTTTTTCCTCTTTTGTTTTCACTATCCATACTTTGTTGCGATGCTAAATGCTTACCATTAAAATCTATGATGGCCGTTCATATCCTTAGTAGCTTTGAACGATGTGCTTTTTGCTGGGGCTTTCTTTCGCTTTCTTCCTTTCGGATACGGTCTTGTCTGTTCTGCTCCTCCCATCCGCTCTGTCTTAATCGCGGTTAGATTAGGATTTCATGCATATTTTCAGCGTTTGTTTTTCATCATTGTCTGTTGTCAACGGATCTATGTCGGAAGATGTCTCACGTTTTATAAGGATACCATCATTTTCATCTGAAGGATGATACGACAATGGTTTTTTTTTATTATTTTTAGCTGGTGATTAGCGGTTTGTTCTGCAACGAGCCCGGGCAGATACTTCAGTCGCACCCTCCAGGGATTGATTTTGGAGTAATGTGTGCTATCAAGGCTTTCTGTAGTTTGACACAACTTCGCATATCGATCCATGAGTATCTCTATCCAATGTAGGCCGGTGCTATTGACGTTTGTACTACCTGTAAGCATGGATGCAAAGGGAAGAAAGGAGTTGGTAGTAGAAGTAAAACAATGAAGAAAAACTACGTCGTTTGAATGGGGCCCTTTGAAGGCCCCTATTCTATTGGCAGCAAGCCGATCAATGACCACTAAGGTCTGTGTCAGGAAGATGTGCATGTACATACCGTACCTCCACAGGGTTCTAAAGCTAGGCATGCAGTATGTCTGTAGGGTATGTGACGTAGTTCCAGGTTGGTATATTACATACACACTCTGGAGCACTAGGAACTTAGTACCAAAGGTTAACTAACTTAGGTTCTCAGCAGCCACCAGCCAACCACCAACGGGGATGCCCCGGAAGCCTACTGGGCTTCACCGCCCCCCGCCGAATGCAGCAAAGCAGATGACCACCTACCCCCGTCAAGGCGTCGCCCTTTAATCCATCGATTCCTCTTTTCTTCTTCTCTTACTTTACCTACCTGACTTCACTTCCAACAATCTTATTTACATCATCGTCATCATCATCATCATCATCACTTTCTTCCGCCTCCATCCCACAGTCATTTCATTCAACCAACGCCATCCAGGTAGCTCGATACTTATCACTGATCTATCCTTTCTCATCACTAGCGTGCCCGCTTCCTTATCTCTAGGGGCATGTTTGGGATCTCAAGTGATTTCATCGTCTAGGGAAACTTGAAAACATCATGTCGACCTCTGCGTCCCAGGCTACTTCCGTTAACCCGAATACCTTAATCACGGTCAAGGTGCTTTACAATGACAATACTCGTCGCTTCAAAATCCCTCTAAAAGAGCTTGAAGCTCGTGTTCTCCCCCAAAAGGTGCGTCTCCACCCTAGCTCCGACCGGAGCTTACAGTCTTCCCTTGTATGGTGTAGATCCTCTTTACTTCTTGGAAATTTCCACTTTGAAAGGCTTCCGTCACCGAGGTTTAATTTCTCTGGAAATGAAAAGAAATAATTAAAAGATGTTTCCCACACAGAGTTACTAAATCTTCTAGCCTCATTACTGATGTGATTCTCGTATGTAGCTCCGTCAGCTTCTTGGCATCCCGAGAGATGTTAACGTCACTCTTGAACGTTTATCTGACAGCGCCGGTTGTTATATCCACCTGGACAGCGAAAACAGTGCTGTCTACAAGCAACTCTACCGTGCTGCAAAGGCCAAACTGAAACTTCGAATCAGAGTTACGGAGGTTGACACTACTACCTCTCAATCACCATTACCCGCAGAAGATTCCTCTGAGCACCAGGATCAGGTGAGATACAGCTACCTTCAAACAGTATTAAGCTCTCCGCTCCCTGAAGGCTCGGCTAAAGCTGTTTCCGAATCGCCACATGATGCTGTGAAGCCCACCGAAACTGAGCCCGGGGCCATGCAATGGTCTAATACGGGTGTGGTAGCTCCCGAGCCACCACACCAAGACTTTAGCTTGGGCCAGGATAACCTCAACACCCCCGTGGTCTCACATAAGTCTCCCACAGGTGTCTTTTGCATTGATTGCAATCATTGTGGTTTATCTATTCCTAATGAGCACTACCACTGCAGTATCTGTGATGATGGTGATTATGACCTATGTCTCCATTGTGTAGACTCGGGTGTTACCTGTCCAAATGAGGACCACTGGTTAATTAGACGCATCGTTAAAGATGGCATTGTCACCAACAGCACCACAGAGACTGTTGCTCCTCGAAAGCTCCAGACTGATGGTCCCGAGGAGTCCCCCGAGAAGGTCGAACAGAAATCAAAGTTTGTCCCAGAATCCGTCTCTGAAGACACTCCAAAGACTTCACCAGTTGTTGTTGAAGTCCCTATCCACTCGGAAGCCCGGATTTGCAATGCTTGTCTCAAGGGTACGTTTCTCTCTATTTCTTATACCCCTCCCCTCTATGTGGCGGCTCCTAAGGCATATTATTCGTATACTAATTAGAGACAGAATTTAACGAAACCAAAATGGTCACTTGCCTTCAGTGCAAGGACTATGATCTTTGTATCACATGCCTTCTGAAGGATGCCCATGGTCATCACCCAGCTCACAACTTTTCTCTTCTTCATGACGGGCCCTTCTGTCTGAAGAATTTGGTTTTGTCCCGCTGTAAACCTGGACGCCGCTATCAACATGCCGCCATCTGTGATGGCTGCGAGAAGGTGGGTTATGTACTTGCGAATTCGTGACTGTAAACTAACACATCTTTAGAATGTCGTCGGTGTGCGCCATAAGTGCCTCACCTGTCCTGATTGGGATTATTGCTCTGAGTGTTTTTCAAATGCGCCAGAGACTCATCCTGGTCATCGATTCGCTCCAATTTATGAGGCCATATCTGAGCCATCTCAGGCTCATGAGGTCCACTATGGCATCTTCTGTGATGGGCCCCTTTGCAAGAACAAGGCAGTCCCTGGATATATAACTGGGGTCCGTTACAAATGCTCTGTGTGCTACGATCTCGATTTCTGCGCCAGTTGTGAGGCGCTTCCGACCAATACGCATAACCGAACTCACCCAATGGTCATGCTCAAGACCCCTGTTCGCAATGTTACTATCAGTACACTCCAAGAGGATAGATTCGGAGGATCTACAGTCGCCCTTGGCGATCATGCTCAAAGATCCCCATCGACCCAAGCCATCAATTCGGTGGAACCCGAACGCTGTATCCCCGATGTGCCCGTTAAAGAAGAGTCGGGGTTATCACAAGACAGTGAGACCGTGAAGCAGGAACGTCCACTTTCGAAGGAGCAGCCAATTAAAACTGAGAAGTCCACTAACAATGCGGCTTCCGGATACGACGCTCTATTCGTGCGTGACACTGTACCTGACAGCACCATTATGTCGCCTAACAAGGTGTTCCGTCAGACCTGGACTCTCTATAACCCCGGCCCGCTTGCGTGGCCTGCTGGAAGTGACGTGCGCTTTGTTGGTGGTGATTCAATGTTCAATGTCGATACCAACCACCCTTTGAGTCTGGACTCTATCTCTGCTGCTATGGAAAGCAACAAGTTGTCAGAGCCGCTAGAGCCCGGCCAGAGCTCCGACTTCACTGTAACACTCAAAGCTCCCAGTCGAGTAGGTACTGCCATCTCGTACTGGCGACTGAAGCTCCCAAATGGCATGCCCTTCGGTCATAGACTGTGGTGTGAGATCCAAGTACGGGAAAATGTACCTTCTATCAAAGGCCCATCTCCATCTGGCTTGGAGCCGGAGGGAGCACACGGCTCGGAAAGCGCCGAAAGCCATATGATCTTCCCTAAACTGGAGAAGGAGTCCCCTGACGCAAGTGCCTATGAAGGGGGTATTGTAGCACCAGTGGCTCCCTCCGTGTCCAACCCGTCTGAGCAAGATGTCCTGGAAGATGTGGAGAGTCTGTCGTTGGGTGATCATGAAACGGAGAACGGGTTCTTAACTGATGAAGAGTATGACATTTTGGATGCCAGTGACCAGGAATTTATGGATGTCAAGTCGCGTGAGTGATTCTGTTAGGCCTTGCTATCGGTGGCTACCATGAAGGTCATGCACTGATCTCGACGGATCTTGTCCGATGAAAAGGAGGAGTGGGTCAGGTAAGGATGAAAGCAATTTGCAGTGTGATTGGCAAAAAGAAAATCTGAAAGCCAGTTTGGGATTATCATTTTTTTTTTTTCCTTTATTCATCCATTGTCTAATTTGATTTTGCGTGCGGCTATTCAAGGGATAATAATACTACATCTCCTCTAAGAAGCTGTTCTGGAACTGCCTAACATGGAGGTCGGAATGACAAACAAACAACAAAACAGACAAAATGAATTAAGTTTTCTCGGGTAGACCATTCTCTCTCTCTCTCTCCTCCCCAACCGTGACGATCTTTTTACTTTTTTCCTTCCTTTCTCCACTGTGTTCCTCAACTGTGTTCCACATTCCGAGGTTCTTTTCGGCCCAAAGTCGCAACGACCTGTTGATTTGTCGGTCGCCTCAGTTACGCTCCACTCCCATCTTTGGATGTCCTCCAGAGTATGGACAGTAGGAGTTATGCACACCGTATGGAGTACATTGTTGTTGATCCCTTGGAGGGGCCGGCACTCCCCATAAAATTGCTCACCATCCCTCCGAGACTAAATGGACGTGTTCATCGAAGAATCGCACCTGCCGAGTAGGATCTTCCGCTCTTTCCAACCACAATATAGATCTGGATGATCTGATAGTATCGGTGAAAGCTACGACTATCGCCGCCTTTCTGTTCCTCGTCTACTGGCATACCATCCTTGGTACTGTTGAGAGAAACCCCAAGCGGTACCGCTCATAGACGATAAAGGAAAGTGTATCACCGCCATGGGGAGTTTACTCAATCTTGCTATCCTTACCATCTTGGTGGCGACGTTCTACGGCCCTGTATACCGGCAGCTGACTGTGTTGGGAGTGCTCCGGAAAGCCACAGACGAGGTAAGATTGGCAGAGCAACAGGCCTTCCACAGAATTGAAGACACGATGCAATGTGAAGATCTACATTATTACATGCCTTCCCATAAGATCTTCACTGCCTGTGAAGACTCTGTGCTGCCCCGATTCAAGTGGTTTCCTCCCTTAGGGAATTTCGAAGGGCCGGTGGATTCGACTGGGTCCATCCATGTCATTGATCCCAGGGTGAGCTTGTCCGTATCTTTCGCTCTCAAGGTGTGGAACTGAATCGAGTGTATCCTGTCTAGACCATGAAATCGACACGTCTAGCCTTTGAAAACTTCGCTGGCCCCTTAATCACGCATGGGATAGAAGTCCTGGAAGACCCGGACAGTCCCGATGCCGTCTATATCTTTGCTGTGAACCATTTGCCAAACTTGGCGTATTACCATGCTGGTCTACATTCCCAGGAAATTCCGAAGGCGCGCTCGCAGGTTGAGCTCTTTCATCATGTTCTTGAAACTAACACGGTCCGGCATGTGCGCTCCATCAGGCATTCACTGATCGCTACCCCAAATGACATTATTGCTGAGAGTCCTCTCTCCTTTTATGTTACTAATGACCACTTCTACCGTGAGGGCTTCAAGCGTCAAATCGAAGATCTTTTTCCTGCAGCCAAGTGGTCTAACATCGTGCATATTCAACTGGACAGCCTTGAATCAGAGCAGGCAGAAACCGGCGTTGATGCTAAAGTGGCGTTGACTGGATTACAAAACAACAACGGTCTTGGACATGGCCAATCGGAGGGGGAACTACTCATCTCTAATGCCATCGGCGGGATAATGTATCGTGGCCGGACGAATCCTGAAACCCACAATATCTCTATCGTGGACGAGGTTCATTTCGATAGTTCTATCGACAACCCGAGCTATTATGCGGACCCATACCGGACTTCCTCTGATGACGCCAGTGGCTACGTGCTCGCAGGGCTACTACGAACCATCGACGTAGCTAAGAATCATGCCGATCCAAATGGTAAGGACGGTGCTATGGTGTGGTATACACGTCCCAAGGCCACAAAGGAAGAAGGGGGTCCTGTAGAATGGGAGACTCGCTTGATATTTGAAGATGACGGAACGAACATTAGGTCGAGTAGCACAGCATTGTTAGTCCCCATTGAGCCGAAGCCCCAAGAGAAGAAGAAAGCGTGGCTGTTCGTAACCGGCTTTGTCTCAGAAAGTGTTATTGCTGTTGAAGTCTTGCTATAATGCTCCAAGGGCGAGTGCCCTGTGGTGACGGGATACGGGGAATGTCCACTAAATTAAACCATATGGATTTCAGAGCCGAGGCGACACGAAAGCAGATTGATTGATGGAACATGACTTAAAGTATAAATGGCTAGCCAAGAAGATACCTCGAGGTGTAACAGCATTGCTCGAAATTGATTCAATTCATTTGCTTCAAAGCTTTCACAACATCCTCCGTCTTCATTACGTCGGCGAACTCGCCTTCTAAGCTCGCCACTGAAACGGCATGGACAGTCTCAGCATCGAAGCCCCCCTTTGCCCAAGTTGCCGTAGCATCAGCAACAAGTACGATGTGCCCCCGATCCACGCGGGCCTGGTTAGGCATGCCATCTTCTGGGTCAAGTGCCGAGGGCCCGTCGGGGTACCGGTCCACGACCCCTAAGTTCGCTGCCATGCGTACCGTGGTCGATACACAATGGTCTGTTGTGAGGCCGGCAAAAAGAATCTGCCGAATCCCTCGAGTACGAAGATGCACTTCCAGGTCGGTCCCTATGAAGCTTGAATTGACACACTTCCACATAATCACTTCAGATCCGTCAGCCGCCGGCTGGGCAACATCAAGTGGCTGGATACCGTTTCCGGGGTCATTGCGGTGGAGAGGGGAATTTGGGGTAGTTGACGAATGGAAGATGTGAATTATTTCCTTGGCGTTTCCCCCTCCAGTTTGGTTCTTGATGGCGGCTCGAAAGGCCTGGATGAGAGATAGGATGTTGTCCTCGTAGGACGGATTGGAGCGGGAGGTCCCCCAGTAAGTTGGGTGAGTGAAGGCTGCTTGGTTGTCGATGAGCACCAGCGCTGTGGGGAGACTCCAGTCAAGAGACATGGTTTATTTGTGTGAGAGTGTGTGTGTATACAACTTGTAGTATCCGTGATGGTTGGAAAGGTGAGATAAATCAATCCCAATTATAGAGAATAGACCATGGAGAGTGAGTCATTGCTGTCACCTTGGCCATGACTAATATCACGATGACATCGAATGCCAAAGAAGATCAGTTCGTTCCCTTCCAAGCATGTTGCGTCGAAAGTCGATGACAACATAGCAAGGAAAGTAATTTAGCATGCCTGGCTGCCTCGGCGCCTGAAGAGCCTGGTCTCCTATCCTGAATGCCCTAGGCATCCAACACGCCGGTCCTCTTGGTATCACATCAGCCTTCGAGCAATCAATTCCTTCTCCCCTTCAACCCCCTCCCCCCTCCATACTTTGGGAGAATGTCATCCTCTCTTGGTGCCCAGAAGGCCCTTGTCACCCGGTCCTATCCGTTGTTCTCTACCCCCTTTTCAGCTCTTCCACAGCATCACCTTCGGCGGCGCGATATCTACCTTACCTCCCGTGGCCACGCTTCATCTTCCAAAACTCATACTCGTCCCTCTTCCTCCGCCCAGCCAGCCACGTCCAGAGTCCCTTCTACATCTTCAACTGCAACCACATCTCTAGCCAACGATGTCAACCCGCCACCCAGCACTCGCCCGGCCGATCTCGACCTTCCAGACCCGGTTTCACGCTCCGCCGCAACGGCCGATAAGTTAAAACGTTATATCGCAATGGGTCGCGCATATCTTTCTTTCTACAAAACCGGCCTCAAAAATGTCTACCATAACTATCGCGCCTCCTTGCCTATCCGTCGCTCGCTCGGTCTCCCCGCTTACCTCCCTACCTCTCCTCCGCCTGCTCCGCCGTCGTCCAATTCTCAGAGTAAGAAGAGCACTGCATTGCGCAAAGCAATCGAGTCTGTTCAACTCAGCCGCTCAAGCTTCCAATTGGTTCGTCGCGCTGCCTATGATGTCCGGCGCATGATCCCTTTCACTCTCATTCTCATCGTGTGCGGGGAGATGACACCCTTGGCTGTCCTAGCCTTCGGGAACGCCGTCACGCCGTTCACCTGCCGTGTCCCTCGGCAACTGGAGAAGGACCGCGTGCAGCGGGTGGCCCGGAAACGCGCCGCCTTGGTCGCGCAGCAGGCAGCCACGAGTGGATCCGTTACGCCGCCTGTCGCGGGATCGGATGTAGAGCTGGATATACTGGTCAAGATGTATACAAATCTGGAATGGATTGAAAGTGCGAGCGCCGAGGAAATCCTGCGCGCATGTGCGGTGCTGAATCTAGCGAAGACACATACTCGACCTTCCGGACTGATGTCGCTGTATCGGGCGAGGCTGCGGCGGTATGCAGAGTACTTGTCTTTGGATGATCAGTTGATTAGACGCTGTGGGGGTGTTCGAGCGATGGAGGGTGTAGAGGTCAGGATTGCAGTGGAGGAGCGCGGTGGTGTTGGTGTGACGGAGGGTAAAGAAGGCTGGGATGCGGAGAGGGAGGAGAGACGCTGGCTAGAGAAATGGCTAGAGAGGAGGTAGGTTGGTTTATTCCATGTGTTATACTGTAGATTCAATCTGTCTCTGTAAACTAGCGGGTCTGTGTTATACATATAGATACAGATATTTAGACGTAACCTGTCTCGTTTACCCTCAACGATGGGCTACTTATCATACTATAATCTACTAGACTCTCGAGATGCATTGAACGATCACCATAGCAAGCGAAAGTGCTGTTGAAAGAAGGGAGAAAGGGATTTTACTGTAAAACATGCCATTGATTCATGTTCGCCCAGACGATCCGCTATACGCCGCAGTTCCCCCTACATAACGCTTATATATCGCCACAGATATCGTATACCCTCATGCAAAGGATCGAAAAATGGTATCGTACGCTAATATCCGGATATTAGAACAAAACGTAATAATAATAGTGGTAGGAGTAGTAGGAGTAGTAGTCGTGGCTTTTTGGTTTTTTTTTTTTTTTTTTTTTTTTTTTTTTT